TAGGACATATGTCATCAGTTTCTGCCGCTGACATCGGGTTGTGCCGATATTTCTTGCCTCATCATTGCGTCATAAAGGAAGATAGCTCCACTACAAAGCTTCGCGTAGTTTTTGATGGATCGGCGGCCAGTTCCTCAGGCTTTCTCTCAACGATGTTCTTATGGCAGGCCCTGTTATTCAGCCTAAGCTGTTCCAGATTCTTCTACGGTTTCGTTCACACCCAGTAGCAATCACAGGAGACATTTGCAAAATGTACCGTTGTGTTAGGGTTCAGCCTGAGGACAGCCATTTGCAATGCATTTTGTGGAGGGACTCCCCCCAGGATCAATTGCGGGTGTTTAAGCTAGACACCGTTACTTATGGCACGAAGCCAGCATCATTTCTGGCTGTGCGAGCTATGCATCAGTTGGCAGCAGACGAGCATACAGCGTTTCCGCTTGGGGCTGAGGTCATTCGTCACGATTTTTATGTGGATGATTTGATATCTGGAGCCAAGTCCAAGGAAGAGGCAGTCATCATTATGGATCAGGCATCAAAACTTCTAGCCAAGGGAAAATTTAAGCTTAGAAAGTGGTGCTCCAATGTGTCGGCTGTTTTGGATGGAGTTGCAGACAAGGATAAGGAGTCCTATTTGAAGTTTGATGATGGCACTGATTTTGCAAAAACCTTAGGTCTCGCTTGGGATCCAGTCTCTGACCAACAACTGTTTTCCTTTTCGGTCATACAGTCAACCTCAAGCCCCTGCAGGCGATCTGTCCTGTCTGCAATAGCGCGATTCTACGATCCTCTCGGGTTGGTTGGACCTGTGATCACAAAATCGAAAATTTTCCTTCAACAACTGTGCAAGGAGAAGTTATCCTGGGATGAAAGCCTTCCTGAGTCACAGAATACGGAATGGAGTGCTATATGTACGAGTTTTGGGCAGACTAAGCATGCGTCATTTCCTCGGCTGGTTCGTTCTCCAAACTCTGAGAGTGAAATACATGGATTCTGTGATGCCAGCATAGAAGCATATGGTGCTTGTGTCTACATCGTTTGCAAAGGCCGATCTCAATTACTTTGCTCAAAGTCAAGGGTAGCCCCCTTGAAAACACTCACTGTGCCCAAGTTGGAACTGAGTGGGGCGGAGCTCCTGTCTAGGCTCATCGCAGAAGTGTCTGGGACGAATGCATTTGAGGGAAAGGTTTATTGCTGGAGCGACTCTGCTGTTGCGCTTTCATGGATCCGGGACGAGCCGTCCAGATTCAATATCTTTGTAGCGAACCGAGTAGCTGCCATTCAGGAGCTAACTGAGTCAGTGGAGTGGCGATATATTCCAACTTCTTTAAATCCAGCTGACATTCTCTCCCGAGGTGCTTTTCCTGCTGAGCTCAACGAGTTTCCTTTCTGGACTCATGGACCAAAATTCCTCTGTGGTCCCAAAGCTGACTGGCCGACCCCAATCACTGCTGAAAAGCCAACGCTTGAGGTTCGCCGGAGGATCCTGCTGATAAAATCTCCATATGAAGACATAGTGTCCAGTTCCAAATTTGCCAACTCCTTTGCTGCCCTTCAAAGAGTTTTCGGATACGTCTATAAGTTTAGTAATCGCATCCATCGCCCTACGCTCACGGTGTCTGATGACTTTTGCGGGCCATTTCTCTACAAGTCAGAGGTGCGAAGCAAGCCTCCAGTAAAATGCTACGTTTGTGTCTTCATTTGCTTCGCCACGAAGGCTATTCATCTGGAGTTGGTCAAGGATCTCTCTACGGTATCGTTTCTACACGGCCTCAAACGATTTATATGCACTAGAAGAAGGCCGCGGCAGATTTGGTCTGATAATGCAACCAACTTTGTTGGAGCTCGCAATGAGCTGCTCGAGCTAAGGCGTCTTTTCCTCAGCAGTGATCATCAGAGAGCTACATTGGACTTTTGCCTAGCTGAGGCTATTGATTGGTGTTTCATTCCTCCTAGGTCGCCACACTTTGGCGGTCTTTGGGAAGCGGCTGTGAAGATCGCCAAGCATCATTTCTACCGCGCTGTTGGCACTGCTGTTTTAGCCTTTGAGGAGTTCCGGACCCTGGTGTGTCACATTTCGGCGGTTGTTAATTCTCGACCATTAGTCTCGATTTCAGAAAACCCAGCTGATCTGGATGTATTAACCCCAGCACATTTTTTGAATGGTGGTCCGCCTTCTTCTTTCGTCGAGCCGGATGTGACCAGTCTTAACTTCAATCGCTTGGATGGATGGCAACGCGTGGCTTACTTGCAGCAGATCTTTTGGTCCCTATGGAAGGAAGAATACCTAACATTGCTACAACAGCGCTCCAAGTGGCGCACCCCAAAACCTGGCCTGGTTGTCGATGACCTAGTTCTGGTTAAGGACGAAAACTTGCCTCACATGAAGTGGCCCCTCGCCAGAGTGATCGAGCTTCTCTTCGGTGGAGATGGGGTTGCTCGAGTTGCCGTTCTGAAGACAGCATCAGGAGTGACAAAGCGAGCAGTAAACAAGCTGTGTCTGCTACCCCTTAAGGATAATGTTGAAGCCCAGGCTTCCAACGGGGGGAGTATGTCGGGTCACGCAGCCGCAGCAGCCAACTAACTTCTTAATTCGATCTCTTATATTAATGGCATCGCGAAAGGTAGCTCTCTCTATCTAGCTCTCTCGTCTTTTGTGTACTTGCATTTTTCGGCCCAGCTTTCGGCTGGGTGTCCGTTTGTAAAATCAGTACGAATTCTGATCTCGACATAAAACGCATTCTCGTCTCGCCTGTTGTACTCTCTCTCGCTAATAAATTGTTAACAAGCCTAAAGCAACCTGAAATTCGTATTTTAATTTAGCAACAACTAATAAAAAAGCTTATTAGTTCAACAGTTAGTATAAAAATGTAAGTATTAACTCAACACTAATTAGTTTCAACTGTAGTGTAAGTGCTCTACCAAAGAGTATAAAGCGTAAACCTGTAGTGTTATTTTTAAACTAGTCATATTTGACTTTTTAGTTTAAAATTTATACTTTTGGTTTCAACAAAAACTTGATGTAGTATAAAGAAAATGTAGTTTCAAGTTATTACAAAATAGTTTCATGTTAACACTTTATAGTATTAAGCTTATACTAATTATTATATGAGTGAGACTCAGTAGCATAAATAGTATACTGAACATTAAATAGTTTTTCATGGTGTGAAACTAGGACAATAGCGATTATTTGAACATATATTTTGGTGTGAAACCAGGACAAAAGCGAGTATACGAACACAGAAAATGCTACTATATTTGCCGTTTTTTGACGCGTTAATTATTATTATGAGGATTTATATCGGTGAGTTTGGTCCTGCATCCTTGTGACATTTGTGCCTAGTCAACATGTAAGTAAAATATTTATTCTAAAATTAAAAAATGCAATATTATATTGTGTTCATTGTGTATTTTCGGGATCGATCTCTCATATGTATACAGACATAAATAAATACATGAAAAGTGTAACAATTGTCTACATATATGTACTTACATACATATAGTGCAGAAGTTAATACATCTTAAAAATATAACAATTAAATGGTGAATTAACAACTAACAGTAGTGGCTGTGTAAAAAAAAATCAAAAAAACAACAGCACTTTGCTGATTTCATCCCCTTGTGCAAACAAGTCCTTTCCCTGCAAGCATTTTCTATCGCGGAAGGCACTATTAAGTGACTTCTAGAAGATGAAAACGATCGCCCGCGATATCGCATTCTGATCGCGGAAGTGTCTCCCTTCGGGAAGATATGTGCCACTTCGGCGACACTTCTCGAAGTCGCTTCTGCGTTACTTCTGGAAGTGTCGCCGAAGTCACTTCTGGAAGTTACTCCGAGGTGACTTTACATTTGCTTGTAGAATACATCTAGAAGAGTCTTTCCCAATTGGAAAAACGTGAATAAAAACATATTTTTTTATACTTTTAATATTTTGCATTTATTATTTGTATAAGGGCTTTGTCCGCTTGTATACACGGTCCCTGGCATGTAGGAAATTTGGCTGAACACTGTTATTTAGGTCCAGCTCCGTCGACATAAGAAATTTATTAATAACCATTTCTAAAGGAAACAGAAAAAAAAAATATTTTTTGTTCAGTCAAAGTAAAAATAAACTAGAAGACATTACCTTTTACAATGAAATATGTTGAGAATCGTTGGATCCGCAGTTACACGCCAAGTAATGTCCACAGCTAGCTTGTCCGTAAATAGCTTTAAATAATCGTACAGCTCACGATAAGCACTTAATTTCGCAGGGGGATATTTAAATATGTTAAATAATTAATAACATTTAGAAAAAAACAAAGCAATATTTTCAAAGCGCACAAAATTGATACAAAACCGCACTGTACACAGACAAATCGTGCAACGAAATGACGCTCGGGCTAAAAATAATAGCGTGGGTCAAAAGGAAGACCAAAAAATTTTCAGAAAAAAAGGGGTAACGGAAAATTACCGCGACCTCTTTTTATGGCTTGTTTTTTTCCATTAATTTTGTTTTTGTAAAATGTGTACTATCGTTTTTCTGTCGCGCAAAAGTGTCTCCGAAGTTACTTCTTCGCGATCCCGGCCCTTTTTGTTTTTGTAAAATGTGAACTATCGCCTTTCTATCGTCCAGAAGTGACTTAGAAGTGACTTCTACGCGTTATATGTATATTTTGTTTTTGTAAAATGTGTTCTATCGCCGTTTTATCGCGCAGAAGTGTCTCAGAAGTTACTTCTACGCGATCGCGACCCTTTTTGTTTTTGTAAAATGTGTATTATCGTCTTTCTATCGTCCAGAAGTGACTTAGAAGTTACTTTTACGCGACACATGTATATTTTGTTTTTGTAAAATGTGTACTATCGTCTTTCTGTCGCGCAGAAGTTACTAAGAAGTGACTCCTGGACGACAGGCGATAGAAATATCGCCATTTTGCTTGCAGGGTTGCGCACGCTTACAGATACATACACACGAAGGAGCTACAAACATATATGTATGTGTGTTGCGCAAAATACTTGTTTCCATGGAAACATGGGAATGAAATCGGAAAAGTGCGCCGTTCTTTTTTCTATACTTTTAATTACAAATGTATTTCAGCTATTCAGAAAGTGGACCAGTTGATCCAGTTCGTCGAAGAAAATAACTTAGACCCATGTTGCCTGATAAACTTGATAGGTAAGTTATTCGTAATATAAATCGTACAATTTTTTAAAAACATTATAAAATAATTTATAGAATATATACCTTCGAAAAACTACAATTTATTGAAAGCGGTGAATTAAATTTAATTTTTCCTAATCGTGAAGACACTGCATTGCGTTCCGAGTTTAGGGCAAAGTTAATGGAGTGGAAAGTTAGAAATGTAAGCACCTGTTAAATATTTTTGAAAAGTCAAATGTTGTAATATATGTATACGTAAGCAGAAAATAGTCAGGCCGACTATTGTTCAACCGGTATCACTGCCAATCCAAAATATACAAGAAGACATCGATATGCGAAGTGGTTCCGGGCTTGTAAGGTAACTATAAACAAAGGCTGCTTAAAAATTACACAAATCGGTTTGAATGATTTTAAATGATTTTTATTTTATTTATTTATTATAAAATAAGAGTGCAAGTGATTTACTACAGTCCTCGAGCTCTGGGAAAAAAATTATACAACTGTATGATTCAGTTAAGGTTTTGACAATGGAAAATAGGCGTAAAATAGTGAATTTAATTTCCGAAATCTTTTATAACCCTCAAAATGATACATATGCATCAGTTAAATTGGCAGAAATTGAAAGGCTCGCCAACGAACTAGTGAGCATATTTCCGTCCGAAAAAAAAGAGGTTTACTATATCGGGCGCAAGGAAGCCAAGAGAAATAGTCCTGGTGGGATTCTATTTAATAAGCTCCACAACCATTTTAAAAAAAGGACGTCCAAAAAAGTTATTAAGCCAGAACCCAGTTTCGGTATATAGATGTTTGTGATGTCTCGTATTGTTATTATATATATGTTTGAAACTACTTTTGCAAATCTTTGTTAACTATAATTTTTTAATAACTTTTAGTTGGAGCACGATTTTAATAACCTGCACTCCGATCGACAATACTGTTTCACAACGAAGTGGGAAAGAACGGTACCAAAGTTCATGTCCTATTATTCCTTAAACGTAAAAGACAGATTTTACAAGCAACTTTTAACGTCCCTAAACAATGTTGTTGGCGATGGTAAGTACATTTTTTTAAGTATTGATATTTAAATTTAAGAACTAAATTCTTTTACATCTTAGGCCCAAGGGACTGTATATTGTTTATGGCTTTGCACGCTGTTATAAAACCAACGTACCGGTACACTGTTACTCAAGCGGACCAGAAGTTCTGTCGAAAGGCGACCATCGAAGACAGCGTTAGCAGCGCGGTATTGCACGTCACCGAAATCAATGACATTCAAAACCTAATTGAAACATTGAACAAAAAAAGTGTCGAGTCAAACTCCCCCATTCAACCATTTATAATTGTTGTGGGCGTAGACATTTTCAATTTGGTTAAATTCTATGTTAGCATTGGAAAGTCCTTTTATAAGTTTAACTCTTTCATTATTGCACTAGACATACGAATGTTTTAAAATTTATCAAGTATTTGGTCTAAAGTACCCAAATGAATCCCATAAAGTTTGTTCTTTTTTACAATACTTTTTCTATAATATGAAAACTGAATTTGATATTATATATCCGTGCGTATCCAATGTCATTGAAGATTTAAACTAAATGTAAATACTTTGTAAAATATTTTTAATTTCAAAATTTATTCATATCCTTTTTAATTTTAAGATCTTGAAATATTCTGTTATTAGTTAAGTCTTATATTTTTAATTTCTATATTTAGTTCTTTTATAATATTAATACCTAGCCATTAACAATATGCGTTGCTTTAAGTGTTTTAAAGAATTTTCTGACCTCAATAATTTATGCTTACACTTTAAGCATCACCACAATTTAAGGGAAATTGATTTATACATATGTGTCGAAGGCAATTGCAACCAAAAGTATTCTTGTTTTCAAAGATTTAAAGCCCATCTCATAAGGCATTTAAATATAAAATCTGTCCACAACTTGAACAACACAGTGGCCGAGGAGTACAGATCTCAGCATTAAGTCAAGCTTAAAGTTTTCCTCGTTTTTAGAAAATAATATAGAAGGATTCCCCAAAACATTTTCTATAATTAAAGAAACTTTTTGCGATTCAGAAACAGCAGAGTTTTCCGATATGCTAGGTAGTTTAAAAAATAGTTTTAAATATTATTTTCAATATGATCTTTTGGAATTTAGTGAGCACTATCAAGCCTATACAGTTGGTGGAAAAGAAAATTCTTTAAAAATTAGTAACATAAGTAGTTTCCAAGGTCCCCCTGTAAAATATCATAAAAAAATGGTGTTAGCTATGTAAGATTAAAATCATTTTAAATAAAACTGTATAAATATTTATGAAATAATAACAAAATAATATCTGAAATAGTAATAAAAGAAAAACAACATACAACGTGATTTTATTGGGTTTGGGATTATTGGGATACCACGAAAAACAAAATAATATACATTTTATACTACAGGCAACGGGGAAATCGTATAAGTCTTATACGAAATAGTATAAAATGTATACTAACGATTTCGATAAATAGCTCAAAAAGTATACTACGGCTCTCTAGATTAGTTTAATATCTATACGAAATAGTATAAAACGGAGACTACATAGCATAGCTTTTATACTAAATAGTATAAAAAGTAAACTATCAGCAAAAATTTCAGTACACTGAGTGAGTATAGATTGTATACTCGTTAGTTTAACTTTGATAACTTCGAAAGTTTCAGTTTAATACTTTCGGTGTCATAAGGTTAATACACATCTTATCAAGATATTTTTGACACTCAATAGTTTAGTTTTAATGTACGAATAGTTTAGTTTCTATGATCATTTTTTTTTGAGTGCATGCCTACGAAGTCAACGTGGAAAAGATGCCACAAGCGATACCAGTACTTTTGACAGAGACAGCGGAACATTGGTTTAGAGCGAACCAATTACTCGGCGAATCTTGTGCTACCTTTAAGAGAGCTTTTCTTGAGTTTTTCCTACCACCTCGATATTTTCAGCGATTGGAGGATGAAATCCGTACGAGATATCAACAGCCAGGAGAAACATTCAAGCAATATCTAGTTCAGATCCGACTGATGATGCACAGAGCAGCATACAAGGCAGCGAGAGGCGTCTTCGCCACCTCGGGGAGCTGACGGAGACTACAAGGATGAATCCCCGGAATTAGATACGATACTGCAAGTTCCGGCAGGCCTCATCGTAGCACGAGTAAGCATCGATGGCCAGCTCTTCAACGCCACTATTGATACAGGCGCCAGCAGGAGTTTCGTGAGTGAACGAGTTATCCAACAATGTGGACGCGTATCTTTGCAATTGAGTCCCCTTAACTTAGGTACGACCAATTTAGTACTGTCCCCTCTTTCAACGACTGCATTTCGCCAGTCGCCAAATACTATAACCGGAGGCCAAGAACCAGAACCACTAGACCAGCCAGAGCAGCCTGAACACAGGAACCAAGAGGCCCTGGGGCCGATCAATAATCTTTCACCCCGAGACGAAGCCACGGCACACGCCTTGCGATTCGCGAAGCATAGATTCCCCAAGGAGGGTAGGAGTCACGCCTAACGCTGGAGAAGCGTTAGCAGTTATTACAGAAACCCCAGAACAGCCGGCCACGGAAGCCGTAGAACCCTGGGTGATCCAGTTTCTAGAGGCCGAGCACAGTATCACAATGCGCTATGACAAGCCAATCAAACAAAGATATTTCCCAAAGAACCTGGCGATGCAGAAGATTATAAATGAACAGATTGACGAACTGTTTCGCAATGATTGTATATAGCCTTCACGGAGTCCAAATGAGATTATGCGTTGATTTTCGGCAACTAAATGCCCATTCGGTACCAGACGCATACCCATTACCTAGGATAACTCACATACTAGAACGGCTACGACACGCGAGTGCACAGCCCTTACAGTGCCAGGGAGAGGACTCTATCACTGGAAGGTCATGCCGTTTGGCCTACACTCGGCACCAGCAACGTTTCAGCGAGCACTTGACAGTGTTATAGGACCCGACCTGGAGCCCCATGCATTTGCGTACTTGGATGACATTATTGTCATAGGAGCCACACTCGAGGAGCATGTTCTTCACCTACAGGAAGTATTCCAACGGCTACGAAAGGCGAACCTTCGCCTCAATTCGAAGAAATTCAGTTTCTTCAAGCGTAGTCTAGTATATTTAGGACATGTCATTAGCGAGGAAGGAATCCACACGGATCCACCACATGCACGGAACTCCTACGCTCTCTCGCAATCGCCTCTTGTACAGCCCATGTCCGACTTCTCAAGAAAGGGAGAATGTGGCAATGGCAGCAGGAGCAACAAGATGCATTCGAGGAACTTAAAAGGAAACTCACGGAAGCACACGTGCTGACATGCCCAAATTTCAGCAAGAAATTTTTCCTTCAAACCGATGCCAGCGACATAGGTCTGGGAGCCGTCTTAACTCAGACGATCCAAAAAACGGAGCGCGTCATCGCATTTGCTAGCCGACGTCTCATCGCCGCTGAAAAGAATTATTCGGCCACAGAGAAGGAGTGTCTGGCCATTGTATGGGCCATCAGGAAGTTACGTTGTTATTTGGAAGGCTATCGATTTGAGGTTATAACAGACCACCTCGCGCTGAAGTGGCTTAACTCAATCGATAACCCCACTGGTTGAATAGCGCGCTGGGCGTTAGAACTGCAACAGTATCAGTTTGACGTCCAACACAGACGCGGAGACCAAAACATAGTCGCAGATGCTTTGTCCCGACAGCCTTTAGATGTAATACACAGGATTCAGGAAGACGCTAAAACTAGTACAGGAAAAACCAGAAGATTTCCCGAACTACGTTTTCGAGAACGAGCAGTTATATCGACATATAGGATCACGGCCCGACGATGAGGAATCCGTGCCATGGGAGCTGTGTGTGGCCAAGGAACACCGACCGCGGGTGCTATTGGAGTGCCATGACCAGCCGACGGCGGGGCATCTCGGGATTAGAAAGACAACCACACGGGTTGCCCAGCGTTACTACTGGCAGGACTCTTCCGCGATGTAGCTAGATACGTCCGTAAGTGCGATACGTGTCAGCGGTATAAGGTAAGCCAGAACAAGGCGGCCGGTAAAATGTGCACCAGACAGATCAGTGAGCCCTTTGACACGATCTGTTCAGATTTTATTGGGCTCCTCCCACGATCCAAGAGTGGGAATAGTATGTTACTGGTATTCTTCGACGCGTTTTCGAAATGGGTAGAATTGGTCACTTTGAGAAAAGCCACCTGAGCCCATTTCGAAAAATCCTTTCGAGAGAGGATTTTGAACCACTTCGGCGTTACTCGCGTTTTCGTTTGGGACAACGGGACCCAATTTTCAAGTCGGTCCTTCAAGGCTTTCTGCAAACAAGCCGGAATGGAGATCCAATATACCGCGCCCTACACTCCGCAGCAGAATCCGACTGAGAGGGCAAATAGAACCATTAAGACTATGGTCGCCCAATACATCGAAGAGAAGCATACGACCTGGGAAGAGCTCTTCTCAGAACTAAATCTGGTTATAAGCAGCAGCGTTTCAGACTCTACTGGGTTCAGCCCAGCCTTCATCGTTCACGGCATGGAGCCACGCGTCCCAGGGGCCCTGTACGATGAAGTCACGCCAGGAGACACAAACGCCGCTTGATCGCCTTTTGCCAAGACAGAAATGATTCGAGATGTGTGCAGTACAGGATAATACGCAGAGAGCTTCACAAGAACAGAGGAGACATTATGATCTGATTAGGATCTTTGGTATTTCTCAGACGACATCACTTGTCCATGGCAGTGGACAACTTCGCCGCCAAGCTCGCGCCCAAATACGAAGGCCCATACAAAGTTTTCAAGTTTATCGCGCCCACAATAGTACGACTTCAGCAAGTCCACGGAAGACAACGCATAACCGCAGCACTGGCCGACCTGAAAGAGGCAACCTATCCCAGAGAAACCCAGGAATTAACACAACAGAAGCACGATGACCACGAAGATCCTGTGGATACTGTAGAATAAGCTACGAGCAATTTACGAGACAGGCCACTGAAAAAGGTGCCAACGCGGAGTCAGTGCGCCTTCCCAACGTCCTCACTCCCCTAAAGGGGAAGAACTCCATGCTCCCAGTGCTGCACAAACTAACCCTCTGGAAAACTAGACACTAATTGACCCGTCTTAGT